CCTTGACAACTTCAGTCTTTTCTCCGCTCACCCTGATGTTGTCGATTGGTCTTACTGTTATCTTTAACTTAAGTTACAATCCATACCGAAGACTGCAATCTTTGACCTTCCTCAGCAAGTGATTTAAATCCTCTTGCCTTTCAGCAAGCCAGGTACTGTCACGCACGTATCACAGCTTGTTAATGAACCTTCTTCCAATCCTGATACCACATATGCTCTTCCTCATATGATTCATTTTCTCAGATTATTTGCCCAGCATACAGATTGAATGAGTACAGTGAAAGGCACACCTTTCCTGATTTTAAATCATGTAATATCACCCTGTTCTGTTGGAAGTGTGGTAGTGACATAATTTTCGTGTCAACTTGAAGATATAAAAGTGTAGGGGTAGCACCTAGCCTGTCAATCAGGTCTTGGGCTGATGGTACCTCCTGGTGGGCAGGTGGGCCTTCTCATAAGGAGGATCCTGGGAATTTCCTCTCTCTCTCTGCCTTCATCTTCTGCTACCAAGTCACCTGGAGAGCTGCTGGTGCCATACTAGAGACCTGCCAGAGTCCTGTGATGCTTCCACTGCCACTGGATCCACAAGACTTTGCACCCACCAGCCTGTGATCTTCCTGCATTCTGCATCATTGCATGTGGTTGTGTTGAGTCTGAAGAGGGATTTATGGACTAGTATCAGACTTATGGAGTAATAAAAAACTCAAGTAAACTCTTATTAAAGAAAACAATGAGGGTTAGACACAAGGTACAAAGTTCAATAGCATTCATTCATTACAGTAGAACTATGTCTACAAAACTAAATAATGTCTTTAAAAGCTAAAACAATATGAAAGTGGCAAAGATTTGGTAGCTTTAAGTTGTTTATTATGGGGCAACCGCTAAAGCAAGAGATGTGGACTTGATTTGGACTGGGCTGGTATGTTTTCTTGATATACAATTACCGCATTTACTTGAGTATAAACTGAGTTTTTCAGCATATTTTTAATGCAGTTTTTGTGTTAAAATTAGGTGCCTTGGCTGATATTGGGGTCAGCTTATACTCGAGTATATATGGTACTTCTTCAAATAATCATCTTTCCTGTACTTATCTGATTGTCTCTGGCTTTGTTTCTCTAGCCAATTCAACCTAACACAGGAAGGATGACCTCTTGTCCTGTGTACAGGTTCTCCATGGGCACAATTAAGTGCTCTGGGCCCCATTCTTAATCATGCTACCCAGAGTTTCTCATGAGCCGCAGAATTGAAGACCTTTGCAAAGTCAACAAAACACAAGCAAATACTTTCTGGTGTTCTCTA